TCTTCAATGTTTTCTACAATTTGAATATTTTGTGGTGCAACTGGTTTCGCCATACCCTTCTTCTTTGTTTGTTGCTTTGGTCCAGATGGATCTTTATTTTTATTTTTTCTTTTATTTTCTTTTGCAGCACCTGCTGACTAAGAATCATTACATTATTACGTGAGAAGTTCTTTTTTGTAGCATAAATGTCATTAATTACTAAGAGATAATATTTACTTGAAGAACTTGCATAGATAATCTTCTATCTTCTTCATCTTGATCTTTATATTTTTCTTTCATTTTTTTTAACCTGCCTTTTTGTCCTCGTTTTAAAACAACCTGATCGTTTTTTTTAGGTTCTATCTCAATCTTTTCTTTATTGTCTTTTTTAAGAGGAAGCTTCTGTTTTATTTCAGAACTCTTTTGCATATTCACAGCATTTATTATTACGGGCTTATCATCACCTAAATAAATTACATCTAAATCCTTTTGTGGCATCACTGTTAACTGATTATTGTCAACATGTAATTTCACCCTATAAATGTTATTTCAATAATTAATTATATAAGTAACATAATTTTTAAACATAAAAAATTACGATGAATAAATCATAGAATTTACTTTGAACCAGAAACGTCAATTCTAATTTGTGTATCGGGAAATTGAACTAGATTATTTTCTTCATCACTAACATCTTGATTAACATTATTTTCTTCCATAATTATATCTACTTTAGATTCCTCTTGAATAGGATTTAAATTATTCTTATTTTCAGACTGCTCATCTATTTAATATAAAGGTATACAATATGAATTAATAATAATGAAATTTATCTTTTTATGCATTTACATATCATTTATACATTTATATAACATAACATTTTACCTTCTTCGGAATCCCCTATTAATTCGATTTCTCTATCTTCTTCAATAAGAGAATCTGTGTGTTCACTTTCATCATCAATAATTCTGACTCTTCTTTCATCTTTATGTCTTTCAATTGAACTTTCTTCTAAACGAAATAAGAATCCTAACCCCATCACTAATTGACAAGGTGGTAAGTAATTCTTTTTTCCACGAATCATAAAGGATCCAGTAGTAAGATATTCACCAGTTGGAGCCGTTTTAGATACTTGATCATTATTGACCCACCATGCCCCTGCTACTACTTTAGCATCCCATGCAATACTAATATAAAAATTATAATGTTTTTATAATAAAGACATATTAGTAAGATATAAGCATTTATGTACCTGTAAGCAACAGCCATTGTGCCCGCTTCAGCTAAAGTTTTTGGAGGCACTGAGTCACTACCAGGATTTTTAATAACTACAGAACTAGCACCAGTTAAATCCGCGTGAACATATATATCTCCAGACTTAAGGTATCTCTTTACTATCAATTCATTTTGCTGTTGATCCCTTCCACCAATAACTACAAAGTCACAAAATTATTGGCTTTTACCATAAATATTATATGTTTTTTATCGACTTACCAAGATAATTCTCAGAACTAATAAACCAATAAAATTTTTCAAACCAATATATTTTCCTTAGTTTGTTAATACTGTGAATAGTTTGGACTTCTTTTAGCGTTTGTTTTGTCTTCTTTTCTGCCGATTTTAGGGCCTTATCTTGCGATTCTATTGTTTTTTGTTGCTTTTTAGCTGCCGATCTCTTTTGATTATAATACTTTGTAGCATTTCCAAAGGCTGTATGTGCTAAATCAATGTCAATTAACATAGGTTTTAATTCTGATTCTTCATCACTATCTTCATAAGGATCATGTAATAGTAAAGAAATATGATTTGTTTCTAATTTTAGTTGTTTAATTGCAGATGCAACTGGATCTCCTCTGCTCTCTGCTTCTTTTAACAGCACTTTTATATCAGGCCAAGCCATTTGATTGGCAAGGGCACTTTGTATGGCTAATATAGCATTGTCCACCAAAGTTTGATTTCTAGAAATTAGTTCAGCTTTTTGTTTATCTAATTCTTGAGTTTTCTCTAAATTTATTAATCTTTGATCATGATCCTTTTTTACATTTTCTAATTTTTTAAGGGCATCTCGTTCTTGTTGCAAAGCTTTCAAGTCCAACTTTTGACCTTCCATTGTGGAAAAATATTCATCTACTGCAACATCAAAAGAATCAAATTCCTTGTATGGATAATTTGTATATTGTTCAAATAAAAATGGATGAAATTCAATATTGGTATATATGAAGTCTTCTTTGCCATCTGCAGTTGGTTTTGATTCTTTTTTTTGGATAATGTAACCTTTTGAAACATTTTTTCTAGCAAAATCCATCATTTCATTTGCATATTCTAATGCCAGAATTAATTTTGGCATATGTTCTGCAACATTAAAATCTTTGCCAATTTTACAACCCAGCGTAAATCCATGTTTTAATAAAACATGATCAATTACACTAGCACCAAATTCTACAAGAGGATTTAGTAATTTTTTCAAACTTTCTCCTGCTTTAGCACTCTGTAGATGTTGTTGTATATTTTCTATTGGTGGCATTGTATTCTGATGAGCACGGTCCATAGGATATTTCTCTTTAACAGCAAATCTAATCATTACATACTTTTTTAATCTCTCATAATTACACAATAATTTTACTTAATGTTTAACTTGCATTATAACTTACCTGATCTTATCTCCTTCTGTATGAGGCCTCAAAATATTTAAAATAGTCATTTCATGATCTGTCAACACTATGTTCCCACGATCATATAATTCTAAAATTACATGATATGCTGCTTCACCACTTCCAAATTGCAAATCGATCATTCGATCTACTCCTATTTGAGTGAGACTTTCAAGTCTTTTATTCTTAAGGTGTTTACGCATCTACAAAAAAAACATGACAAATAAATGTTTGTCTAAACTAATCGTCCAGATCTTATAATATAATGTACCTTCATCGAAAATCCTGATGGTGCTACATTTTTAGGCCATTCAAATGCCGTTGTATGAATTCTATTACCAGATTCTAATAAAAGGACACATTTTTCTTCACTTCGTTGAAGACGTATGAGATATGTTCGATGATCAATATCGTAGATTTGATTTACGCGCATACCAATAAACCTAAACGTTAAAATTGACATGAAATTATTTAAAAACACTTATCTTACATACTTCATCTTCTAACCTTTATGCACGAAAAACAACATTTTTACATTTACTTACTTTTGCAGCTCACATATCGTACAAGCAATGTCATAGGAATTAAATCTCGTTTTCATTTTTATACATATATTATTCCTTTTTAATTAAATTACTGACAGAACTTATTTTCATCTGACACTTAACTCTCACGTTGCATACGTATCACGCATCACTACACACACACACACACACACACACACATATCTACCACACAGCTACCATATACTTATATGTATATATATATGTGTACACGTGCAAACTCACATTTTTGCAATATTTATCTTTTACAAATATACTTGCAGTAAATATGAAGCAAAAGTAGTCTTAAAACATACGTATGTATACTATATCTAATGTATATATCTATACAAATAAAATTTTTATCATAATGAAATGCTATATTTAACAACAAAAAATTATAGGTACATAAAGGAATGCAAGGAATTTTTTTTACATTTTTTATTCAATTATATGAATAAAGTATAATATGAAATTTGCAGGTGTTAACGATAAGATTTCTGGTATCGTGCTCTTGCACCTGGACCACCAAATTTCTTTGGTTCACACCGCCTTGGATCGGCAACTAAAAGTGTACGGTCATACTGAATAAGGATATCTTTTACTTCCTTTTTACTTGCTTCATCGACATCTACAAAAAAATATTTCACATCAATAAAATGTATTTGCAATATGCTTATATGCATCTAATGTTAAATCTTTCATCAATACTTACACTTTTGATAATATGCCACAAGAGCCTTAGAAATAGCTTGGCGAATAGCATAAATTTGTGCTACATGACCACCACCATTTACTCTTACTCTAATATCAACTCCAGAGAACTTTTCCTATACAAGAAATCCAATAAATATAATATTACTAAAATAAAGACGTCCTCAACATAGTCAATATGAGGCACCACATCAGTATTATGATTTTCATAATCATAAACAGTCATTTTCGGAATAAGAAAGCATCACAGGAAAATATAAAGAAAATTTTGAAAGTTATTTTTCTGTCATTTAAACGAACGTAGATAGATATTTTTAGAATTCAATGGAATTGACATATTATCGAATACTTACTTTGCCGAGTAACAAAATAGGTTCTTGTAATTTATACTGCAATACTCGAGGTTCAACCAATTCCAGGGGACGTCCATTTACTCGGAGATTTCCACGGCCTCGTTTGCAGTAAGCGACCGCGGTTGCGCTTTTCTGTAAATAAACGTGTACATTTAGAAGAACACGCGCAAACATAACCCTACTCGTTTTTTGGTACTCAACACTTACTTTGCGTCCGAAGACTTGGACTGATTGTATGGGTTCTTTCTGTTTCTAAAAATAAAATTAAATGTCAGCTTGAAATCGAATTGAATATTTATCTCATATACAGAACGAAAAATTCATAGAATTTGGAATAGGAAAAACCTACCTTTTGCATGTTGCAAAGTTCGTCGTGGAAAGGAAGTTGGACGGTGTTTGTTGAACGGCCTCGATGTTTTCGGTACGAACTACACTAATCAAATTCAAGCTTCAAATGACTTCCGTTTATAAGCACAATTCAAAAAGGATTCGAGATCGATTAGTAATTAAACAAGTTTTATATTTATTATCAAGTTAGTATAGAAAAAAGGGAAAAAAAGGATTACATTTATGTAATTCTGATAATGGAAAGATAATGGAATAATAATAAGATAAAATAATGGAAATTAATACAATTGTATTGATTAGATTTTATATTGATTTAATATTGATTGGACATTAGTTTAATTTTATATAAGAACAATAACATTTTTCTAAATAATTCAGTACAGCATGTGTAGAAATGTATACAAAATATTACGTTCTGTTACAAAATACATCTCGTTTGGTCGATTCGTATCGATCTAACAATCAGGTACATTATATCTATAATTGCAACCATTAAACGATGTATCAAATACAAGATCAGTGGGGCAGCGGAATCTACTAATAACATATTTGTTGTATGCTTTTTGACAATAGTAAAATATTGAACAATCTTTTGGATCTCGAACAAAACCTTCCTGTGTGCATACAGAGTCAGACGGTGTTGATGATGGCAGTGCTGTAGTTGATGATGTCGGTAATGGTCTTGTTACAGTCGATGGATCAGGTGTAGGCAATTTTGTAGGAGTAGAAGTCGGAGAAGGAGGCGGAACATATCCTTTCAGTACCCTGTTTATGCTGCGCAGAAGCGGATATTTATCACCACATATGCCATGAAAGTCATCCGTTTCGACGCTCCACATCATTATACCTCCAAGTCCTTTGGACATGACGTACTTGGCCTTCTCTTCAAGAGATCTAGGAACATAGATATATTATTTTCTATACATCCTTATTTCTATATTTTTTATCTTTCTTTCTATGTTTTCATAAAGCGAATACTTACATGACGTCGTCGTATCCAACCCATTGGTTGTCTTTGAAAGCATAAGGCACACGTTGTTCAGGCTCGCGTTTTACGGTCCATCCCTGCTTAATATACTCGCAGATTTCGTTGTAACCAAGCATGCCACCTTCTCGCGTATAAGGACCAGCCTTTCCAGGACCAATGGTTGGAGAACCTATCGTATTATACGCGGAATTCGACAAGGTAAAGGATCTACCGTAAGCGGGAACACCAAGAATGAGCTTGTCAGCTGGTGCACCTTGTTCAAGCCAATATTGAACAGACGAATTCTAAAACGTAAATGTTTCATTTCAGAATCAATATATCGAATATTTTGTTATCAACTTCAATAAAAGTTAAAGATAACTGAGAATGCGATTTTACCACGTTGAGCTTAGCTTGCTCTCCTGATTCCTTAGAGGAAGGATATAGAGGAGCGTTAATCGCTGCGAAATTGTTCCACGATCCATTCAAGTCGTATGCCATTAAATTAATAATGTGAGGATATTGTGAAACTTGCGAAATAATATAAGATTTAGAAGCCGAGACTTCGGCAGCAGCGACCGCCACACTGAGAATGTAACCATGTTTATCGAATTCTTCTCTTAATTCTTTCAACATTGCAATATAGTTTTCTTTGTCGGCCAGTTTCCCGCCACGCTGGTTCGGATATTCCCAATCGAAGTCGAAACCGTCGAAATCATACGTTTTCAAAAACTTTATCACGTTCTGAACGAATCGTGCACGTACGTTAGGATTCGCTACAACATTAGAATATTTCGTGGAACCTTCGTTCCAACCACCTATTGCTATCAAAGCCTTAATTTTTGGGTTTAATTGACGAAGTCTGGTGAATTTTCCATAACCATCTCGGCCGTTTGGCAGATCTAGCCAGCTATCTAATATTCTAACGTTACCATCCTCAGAAATACCAACGAAGGTATAGATTATATGAGTACATAGATTTGGATCTATGTCGGTCGATTCGAATTGTCCACGTCCATTACGATAAGCTGCCCAGCTACCATAGTAACAAACTATCTTCTCTGAATATTAAAAACGGATTACGATATTGCAACTTAAGTTGTTTGATATGGCAATTACATAGAAGAACAGAATATATCCGGTATTACGAAATTAATGAACTGATTAAATACTGATAAGGAACTTCAAAAATAATAAATGTATTGATTATTTGCCATTTATTTATCAGTAATCGTGTATTTGATACTTACTATCAGCCTCGATGATCGCAGTAGCGTACACTATAAAGGCAATTAGAAATAGTACCTTCGACATCTGAAAATAAACAATTTTTTTAAGTATAGTTCAATTAATAATTGAAATTTCACCAATGGAGATATATACAAAGAACGAAGAACTTAGTGTGACATGTCGTATTCTGACAAAATGGATATTAAAAATTCTCACTATGATTATAAAGTTTTCATATTTTTCCTTTCATATAAATTAAAATCCTTCAATCGTTTTTATATCGATCTTTAATTTTTTGTTTAAATGATTATCGATTTTAATAAGGCCATAGATATCATTCCATTAATTATAATTAAGAAAATAAAATACGTGAAAGAAATTCTTTAAAATGGAGTTTGAATAATTATAATGTCAAGCGTCTCGTTTATACATATTCCGAATATTTCTTTAATTTAAAAATTGATACAGACGCATATGTAAGACAAATTACGATAAGTTGCGTTATTGCTTCTTTAACATAAAAGTGAAATAAAATAAAGCTAAAGAAAATAAAGCTAAAGAAAATAAAATGAATAGCTCTGTGAAAAGTAATAAGAATAGACAATATTGTTAAATGAGAATAAAAAATTTTTAAGTATATATTTTATGAAAAAATTTCAAAATTCCATAGTAAATGAAAATTTTATCTGTGTCAGATACAACATTATATAAACATTAAACACAAAATAAAGTTAGATCAAGATAGAAGAAATATTACCTGTCCGAAAATTGAAAAGTTCCACTTGTTTCAACCAGTATTGATATGTTATAAGATTATAAGGCAACTTGTCGCCTCTTAACTTAAGAAGTATTCCAAATTTATTTATCGTCTACAGATATCGAGTAATAATTGTTTCTTAGATTTCCTTAACTCAGACCTTTATATACCTACCATAGAAACTTCAATCGCAATCTGGACGCGTAATCGGAATTGATCATTATCGCTGTTTGTCTTTTTCCCTTATATCGTTGCATATCCTCCACCACTCCACCAGACGCTTACTATGTTAAATATGACAGTTCCTTTGTACGAAGGAAACATTATGATGAAGTTAGCGCAAATGTATTCACTAATGTCTAAATCAACGATAACGTGGTGTCAAAGATGCGAAAATTGTAAATATTACATTTGCAAGTATTGTATGTAATATTATGGAAATCAATTAGTTTGAACACGGTGTCTCAGTATTTCCTCACGTTGCATTACTTATCAGTTGTTTCCGAAGAATTCGCGAATCCGTGACTGTTCTAAATTAAATATTATGAAAGTTGATTTTACTGTCGGATGATACTTTGCCAACAAATTTCGCGCGCAAAAATATCTGATAAAAAGTGTAAACATGTACCATTTATCATTTTACTGTGTTATATAGGAAGTTTATATTATTTACATACTTATGAACATAATCTTAAACATGATATTATAAGATTTATAAGAGTATAGTTCAAAACTCACATAATTTTTATAAATACAGTTTTATTTATATATATACATACATTTCATAAGATTCTAACAATATTTTAATAAAATTATCTGCTACTAAATTATTGTAATGGAAATGAAGAAGACAAAATGAAATATTATTATAGATTTGAAATTTATAAAATTTTTAGAATCGTTTTTTTTTTATGATTTTATTGTTTCTTATCTGTGTCATTTTACGTATATACCTCCAATACTGTTTTGTATTTGGGTCTAAATCTGATAATTTCAATGGTTCAGTTCTGATTTGCCACAACCATTCAGGATATTCAGAATCTGGCTTTAATTTTATATCTTCTCCTTCTTTATAAATGTTTGATCCACATACATAATTCAATAATTTATTGACATCTTCTTCAACTGGTAAGTCTACTTTTTGTTTAAATCCTTTTATCTTCTTTAATTCCCTTTTATCAGCAACTAAAAAATAAAACAATGTATTTATGAAATCATTTGACAAAAATGAATATATAAGTATTTAAAAAAACAAATTTTATAATAGGAAGTAACAATCTTTGTAAATTAAACATAACATGTGCGACATAACCTCTACTTTTGATATGAACATAGGAAGTTAAACTTATACATAATGATTTTACTAAAATGTATTTTTACCTGCATAATTCTTCACCTGTATCGTATATTGTATTGCAATAATATTTTCTGTAATTCTCGGTAATCGCAAAATAGATAGGAGAGACATGATATTAACCACGATGATATAAACGAGTGTCGACAGTCATATGCCCAAAGCATTGAAGAAATCGTTCGAAAATTGAATCATGAAAATCAACATGGAATACAAGGAAGTTCACGTTCTGTGCGTGCGTGACATATTATTAATATCTTAGACGGAGACAGAAATACTCTATTCATCTCTGTCTGTCTCACAAGAACGAGAACTTCGTTATCTTCCATGTTGATTTTTCACGATTAGACACAACTCAATTTTCGGATGGTTTCCCCTAGCGAGTGTCAAGACCTGTTTATACGATCGTCATGGCCGCAACTAATGCAGTTACATCTATGATAGTTATTCTTTGCTATAGTTATTTCATTACGCGGAACTTTTAAATGTTGACAACGGTAATAAATCAAATGCGCAATGACAAACAATAATCGTTAGGCTTATGTTAGACATAGTTTTATCATGATTTAATAAAAAATCCTTAGTAACTAACTGTAGACTATGATCATATCAATATTCTTTTAAATGATTAAAATTAATTTTATGATCCTGAGGAACAATATACTAACTCAATCCTTTATGTTTCGGTTATGTAATGCCAGTAAGCAGCGATAGAGTAACGCGGGTAGGTTTTATCGTAAAATGATATAGCATATTGCATATCTCATAAAGAAGAATTTTTAATTCATACTTTTATTTTTACATTAATTTTCTTATACTATCGTATCTCTTTTGATTTATATTATAGGATAATTGAAATAATGTTATTTAATGTTTTAGTCAAAAACAGTAGGTTTTGCTATAAAAGGAATTAAAGGAGAACCAATAGTTAGTCATACAGAAAATCAAGAAAACAATAATTTTTTGACAATTGCTCCTGCTTTACCTATTTTACCTGGAGCTCCTATACCACCAAAGTTATTTAAACGCCGTTATAATTTATTCAGGTATTTACTTTTTAATTAAAAATTATTTATGATTTTGGTACTAAAAATGTTTAAAGCTTTGTATATAAGTTTTACATATAGTCCAACAGATTCTCCATTTAACATAGAACATGATAAGATCGATGGTTCTAATGCAGTTACTTTACAATGGACAAGCGAAGGGAAGACTGTCATGGCAACAAGAACATCTGCAGAAAAAGAGAAAAGTCCTGACAGAATATGTCTTGATAGACGAGGACTTACCTCTTTTCCAAACATAATTGGGGAGCCACGTTTACGTTTATTATCTCTTCAACATAATCTTCTTACAAAGATTGAAAACTATAATTTCTCTCAGTTAACAAAATTGGTGTTTCTTGATCTATATGATAATCAAATTGAAAAAATATGTAATTTTGAAATATTAGAGAATTTAAGAGTATTATTGATTGGAAAGAATAGAATAAAAAGAATTGAAGGATTAAAGCAACTTTCTAAACTGGAAGTTTTAGATCTTCATGGCAATCAAATTGTACAAATTTCAGATTTAAATAATCTTGTATCCTTAAAAGTGTTAAATTTAGCTGGAAATAATATTAAAGCAATAGGATACCATGATTTTCAAGGTTTAGCATCATTAAAAGAATTAAACCTCAGGCGTAATAAAATTAAAAAATTATTAGGTTTTGATGAAACACCACAACTGCAAAAATTATATTTAAGCAATAATGATATTTACAAGTAAGCATTTTATAAACATATATAAAAGATATGATGCATGATCTCGTTATAATAATATACTTGATAATTATATGTTGAATATTTAATATTTTAGAATTGAAGATATAGGAAATCTTGTTAAAGCGTTACAGCTTAGAGAAATAACAATTGATGGAAATCCTGTAACATTGAATGGGGATTATGTTTCTTTCCTTGTATCATATCTACCAAATTTACAATTTTTATCAGCTATGCCAATCACTGAACAAATCCGAAGAGCTGCTGTGGCATGGAGAACGACGAAGGAACAAAGTAATTCAACCTTTTTAAACCTTAGTGCACAAGTTTGTATGAATGCTCGAAGAGAGGAAATTATATCAAATGCTAAAATAAGTTGGGAACTTCTTAGATGTCATTCCAGATCATCCACAAATAATAGCAATAATAAAAACAATATTCGAAATAGTAATATTAATACAATGCAAATTCAGAAATCAAATAAATTCAATATATTAAAACCTAAGAACTTAGAAAAAGTAAAGTCGAAAGGTTTTGGGAGTTTAACATCTATAAATGAAAATATAGAAGCAACAAAAATAAATATAAAGAAAAGAAGTAATTCTAGCGATAATTTATTTCGATTAAAAGATACAACTAAAGCATATCCACTAGAATTTAAACTTCCACCAATTTTAGATTCTATCGTAGATAGTTTAATAAACAATAAATTTGATGAGAAAATAAAAAAAGATCTAACAAAGACGAAAACCGAAAGCGACACTGAGAGTACATCAAATAGTGATTCAGAGACTCTAGAAGGTCATGAAAATTTGCAAAGTTGTTTCAACTCTCATTTCTTAAACTCCAATAATTATGCTTCATCGTGCGATGTTAGTAAAATTGTTAATAATGAAACATTTGATTCCATTAATGTTTCCCCATCATCAGAAATAGCTGATGAAAAAAATGATCAGCCTTATGAAATATTGAAGTCTTCTAAGCTGTTAATGAATGAGAAACAAGATCTAACAAAAATATCTCAAAGTGCACAGTTTCATAATCAGCATGGTCTAATTGATTGTCAATCAAAATCAAGCATTGATTCTTCTGGATATTGTTCTTTAAGTTCTAAAACTAATAGCATTGATAGTTGTAAGTCAGTATTGAGTGACCTTAGTACCTCATCTACTACTAAAAATATATTGCAAAAATATAAAAACTTAGAAAAAGACAAGAACAAGGTGAAGAGTGCACAAGGGAAAAAAATAGTATGTTATAAAAGTAATAAAGCAGCAGCTGCTAGAGCTAAGTATAAGGCCGTTACACCACCAAGTCCAATCCCATTACAAAATACATTAAAAGAAAGAGAACAAGGTATGAGGCAATTATAATATCTGTATTATGTTATTACTCTTATATCTTTATTATTTTATAGGAGGGGATTATTTAATAGAAATAGTTGGCCGTTGTTTGAATATTTATGGTCAAGGTGCATTGCGTTTTATTGATCGACTTTGGGACTCTTCAAAAGCTCAAGACGTTAATATAGTTAAATTTAATTATGTGCAGTTTAATGATGTAGCCAAAGTGTTGTGTAAAATAAAAAATAGATTTCCAAATTTAGAACATTTTATGTTCAAGGAAACTAATATTAGCTATCTTGGACAGCTCAATGCATTAGCTGAAGTGCAGGGATTAACAAGTATTCATATAGAAACTGGAAATCCAATTATATCAAAGGATTGGAAAGTTTATGCTATATTTCGGTTAGCTCACTGGGGCTTAAAAATTATCAATGGAAAAGAAGTAATTATACCTTAACTTTTCTTATAAGTCTGTATAACAATATTAAAAGCCAAGAATTACTAATTCATATTAATAGAATTAACAATTTTTTTTTCATAGGTCACAAATGAAGAAATTGATTTAGCAAATGAAGAATATGCTGGTCTTGTTGATATTGTGATGTGTTCACTGCCAGAATCTTTATTACAACCTTTATTACAAAGACTTCATTTAGAAAAACTGCAAAGACAAACTGGAGAAATTACTGCCAAACAATTTTTACTTAACAGTGATCCAGCTCTAAGAAGCGTTGTTGCTAAGGAAGCATTGCAATGGAGAAAAGGAAGTATAACACAGGTAATCAACTATTCAATAAATATTTTTAGGATGAAAAAAAATTTTAATTCAATTCAATTTGAATTTTTAAATAACTGCTTTTAACTGCAGGAAGATCTTATTTGGAGACACAGAGGAAAAATACATTTACTAAATTTAATAAACCTTACTGTAGATGCAATACAGAAGTTACAACTACTCGAAAACAAATGGCCACGTATTTTATATGAAATAATTCATACTACCTTGTTTGATTTTTCTGAGATGGACGAATATATGAAACGCTGTAGTAAAACACTCGAAAATGATAAATAACAATTATATCAGTGTATAATTTATTGTATATAATGTATGAAAAAGAGAGAGACAGGATTGATAAAATTGATTTAAATACTTTTCATAAAATTATACAGAATTATTGTTAAATAAGCTTACATGATCATATAAATTTGTATGAATTCACAGAATATGTTTTTATGTATTCATATAGATCTATTAGTTTGATACATATAATCTTAGGACATACTATATTTATTTGTTTTCCTGGTTAAATTTTTCTGATATGTTTAAAATATTTGCAATAATAAATGAAAATGGCATAATATTCAAGTTTTGTATAATTAAATCTGATTTTATGTAAGAGTTTATTGTAATATTAATATACAATAATGTATCTTATCTATGTATATGTAACAAATTAGAAACTTGTTAATTGGAAAGATATGTATAATTCTTAAAATAATACTTAAAAAAGAAAGATTTACAAGCACATATAGATTGCATTTCATAAGAAAATAATTTAAATTTTTGAATATTTTTCACTTATGTCATAATTACTGCCCATAAGTATATGCCAATAAGATTTATCAATTCATAAAAATTCCTATTTACAATAATGAAATGCAATTTCATATAGAACTATCATTTATCACTTTGTTCCAATGATAGATTCTACGCTAAAAGAGATCGTCGATTTCTTCTCCAAACAAGGTCCACTTTTAGCAGCAGAAATATTCTTTTGATCGTTCACAGAGGAAGTAAAATTGTTAAAACTTTTCTTCGTCTTACGAGGTTCCGCGACCTGTTCAAACCACGGGATCGTGGAATACATACTTGGGAAGGGTTGTATTTTTTTCGAACCTTCGGATTCTTGTTTGTATTCCTGATTTTGTGACAAACCATTCAACAATGGAGCGTCTGCGGTAACTGTAATAAAAATATGCTATCAATGTACAAAAATACCGAACAAAAAATGCTAATATCATAGCAAATAGTTAATCGACGATAATAAAGTATTATTTATGATTCTCCAGAGTTTTACATATGTTAAAAACAGCTGTCGCCATACGTGCGATACTTTTTACGACTACCTATGAATCCTCCTCTTCTTGTAGTTCAAATAATATCAAAGAATTCATGTAAAATCAAGGAAGACCATAAAATAGGAAAAGAATAACAATTCAAACGCGAGAAAATTGAAATTAAAGATACGTTTTCTTTCTATTGATTTACTATATAAATACTAACTATAAATACTAACATGCTGCAGGTAAACCGTGAATCGTTTTCAATCCATAGAATCCTTGGGTTACGCTAATGCTGGTTTGCGTAAAATGTAATTGATGACGTTGAATATTCTTCCCTCTTCGACAGACTGGTGTTTGATCTGTTTTCAGTAGATACGGCGAAGCAGACGTATCAATCGGGGTGTGACAAACCCTTGAAACGTTTTCACCGAAGAAATTTCCTTGAGCCTGTTGTTGTCTTCTGAGTGCAACTTGAGCGGCCATCACCCGTTGCCTCTCGACCACCAGCAAACAGCAAGGACAACGACAGTCCTTCCACGCACACGATCTTTTGTGACCCTTCAGTCCGGAAATTACACCGTGGTTCCTACATCTAGCGCACTTTGGACTCCTCAAACGTTGCTCGATTCCGGAATTCACTTGAGTCGAATTACCGCTTTCGGTCTTCATCTTAAATCGTTGTGATACTCTGTACAGAGAGTATATCCTCTTCAAGATTTACACGAATAATTACTATTTCTTGTTTCTATCGCATAAAATTTATTCGTGGAATATTATAAGAATTATTGTTGGGATTATACGCTGTGCAGTATATGTTGGTACTACATTTCATATTTACAAAGAAATTCAAAAGTTTCTAATAACCACTACGTTTATGGATTATCGATTCTTCAGCACGACCGGTTTGTTAATAAATGTGACGAAGTTAAATATTAGTTAGTGACAAAATTCGTATATATTTCATGGAAGAAATCACGTGAATTTAAACTCGTTCGCCGATATATCTCGCGAAACACCCGTCAATTTCCCTTGTTTCCAGCTTCCTGTAAGATTCTACCCGATGAAACAGTCAGTGTACACTGTTGAATGAGTTATATACATAGTGGAATCTTTTTCCCTCTGTCGAAGGAGGTGTCTCCGCATCTCCTCCTACCAATTCAAAATGTATTTTTAGAGAAGGAACATGTTGGGATTGGCTCGAAACGCGATGTAACTCCGCCACTTTTGTGGACCAGGAGCCAATCGAGGCCAGCTTGGATCTCGTTCTTCTTATTACTGTCAACTTGTATCACCTCGAGAAAAAGGCAAAGATCTTCGTTAAACCCGTACAACTTCTTTGATTACGGCCACCGTGACGGAATCCTACGGATCTTCCGTAAGCAAATAGGCACAGAGAGCGGTTTTATACAAAACGGCTAAGATTTATCGAGCATGACTCCTTGCGGGCAACAGAAATGCGCGTGCTTATTTACCCTTACCGACAAAAACAATTTGTATGAGACACATCGATTTATCATCGTCCAGATTAAAATAAATGATTCCTGTATTCGTTCTTCTTTACACTACAAGTATACTATTTTCAAGAATTTAAGAATCAAAATACAACGATTAACAAGTATCGTATTTTGTAATTTCTATATCAATTTGTAGAAAAGAAGAAATGGCATATAAAGTTCTGTTTAGTTTCCCTTTGAAACCTAAACCTGACGCTTCCTCTCCATCCGTCAGAGTATATAGATTTTTATCCAAGACAAGGGAAGAACATAACATTCAGGTTTCTCCAGCACTTAACTGCTGCCGGAGTCGAAAGAACACTCATACGTTAAGAAAACATACTCGAAACTAATATTAACTGTGCGTTGGCAACATCCGAGAGGATCGTATTAACGAGCTCTTAAAGCAAGATCACAGAAAGAATGCCATGTGGCCGCAGCTGGCGGTGTGTACCGTTGTTAGCCGAACGTGATTCTCTCTCTTCTATTTTTGCAGTACGGAATAGGACGAAAAGGGGCAGGAAGATTGCACTATCCTTCGCTTCCCGATACTCGAACGATATTATATTTTTAGTTGTAACCGAAAGCGATCTCGTCTTCTTGGACATTCGATGACGTCTCCACGGGTGAACTTTAGTAGCCATTTTCCACGTATAAACTGTAACTCTCAAAAGATTCGTATTCGACTAGTCACTTAAGTGAAGTACTAAGATATAAAATTCGAATGTCGATGAAGAAAAGATCGTTCTCTTAAAAGAACGATAATGCCTGTTAAAGGAATTTTTTTTTCTTCGTAGACGATGAAAAGAGCGAACGATCAGACAAGTTTAAATTTACATCGACGCCGGTAGGCACGCGTGAAACGTACCGAGGAATTTGCCCTAATGAGCGTGGAACGAAGGGGTGTCACTTTAGACGTTTCTCCGTTTTTCCTATCGGACATGGACAGCTTTGCTCGAGGGTGTTGTCAGTACGGCAAATATGTTGACAGGTCATTCAACATCTTCCCATCGTTTGCCCGTGGTGGACCCTCGTTGAAGATGCGTGACTGAAGAGATGTTGCACCTCGGAATATCCATAGCTAAGATTGGCCCTCCTCGAGACTGTCCTTGCGAGAACAACGTGCTCAACGAACCAAGAATTTTAACAAGAATTATTAATAACGAGATAAAATGAGAGCGTAAAATGGGGGGAAGAAAGAGAGAAAAGAAACGAAAACGTTTTCTCCTAATTTACTTTAGGATTAAAAGTAACTTTAAAACTATTTTAGAATCGTATTAAAAAAGAAGAGGGAATGGTAAAATTGAAAATCGAGTATCAAAAGTAGGCAATGTTCTTGGCTTTTTGACAACTTTTCGACATTTGCAAATCGACATACTTTGCATTTGTTCGCGTCCTGGGGGCTCTACGCGAAACACGGTAACCCGAAATCCTGGTATACAAAAATTAATAAATCCATCGATTTAACAATTGCAAAAGTCCCTCACGGTTGAAATCCTCGCGCGTGCCTCTCAAATGCGCGCTCGTCGGAAGTGGAACAAAACGTGTGGGTCTCGAAGTTACAAACATGTTATGTAATTCAAAATTCAAAGGATAGATTAAACAAACAAAATATCGCGACAATAAGCAATTAACCTTTCCGAATAGTTCCAAATATATGGTAAAATTTACGTAGCAGCGACGTTGCGATATTTGTAATGCGATCGTTCACGAAAGAAGTATAAAACTTCTCGATTTTAAATATCGTTTCATTCATGTAAGGTAAGATGTGTTGCGAAGATACATATTCGCACGTTTTAAAGATATTCTAAGAAGAGCGACTTTGAAATGCAAATAACAATTCAGAAATACAATTCTTGAAAAACTGTATCATACAACGATAGAATATTTTTAGTTTATTGCCGATACTACATTTTTTTGACATAGTTATAACGCTGACGAACAACCAGTGATCAAGCTCAATAGCGATGCCCCACTGTACCGATAATTTTGTTTGGTACTTAAGCAAGTTTATCGTGGGTTTCACGGGAATGCTCTTCTTTTACGTGGTTTTCCTGAAAGAAAGGTAACTTTTAGCTACGGGAGCGAACCGAGAAAGCAAACACAGCCATCGTAAAAATACGTGTGTTACAGGGAATACAGTTGCCTATGCAAACCGAGAGCAAGAGAACTCTTACGGCGTAAAGGGGAAAAGTGAGTCACGTTGGTCATACGTGCGAGATTTCTTCCATGATTTTTCCTGTTGTCTTTTCTTTTTTGTCAATTAATAAATAAATGTTCTTATTACGTATATATATGTCTACATACTGATATATGAAACTGATTATAATATCCGAAAGGATATCGCGCATCGTATGACCAGCAATATCATGTGCATAGCATAATCATAAGTTCTAATACTTAGTACTAATTCCTGCCCTTTAGACGTTCAGACAGATGCGACTGCAGAGAAGGGTAAGCATGAAATCATCGATAATATTCATCGAAAGATGATATTAAAAATTCGATAAAAATGTTATTGTCTTCTATACAGAGCTCGGATCAAAACCTATGCTTGCGGCTGTAAAAAACGTTTGGACATGTAAGGACATTCTGTCGTAACAGTGATAAGACGTTCGATTTTTTTTCGTATTATTTTAAAAATTGACATATGGCTTTTAGGGTATAGGAAGATTCGGGAATGTTTTCTGGAGAACGACCCAGCTATCGCATCGAAAACCGCATTTGTATTAGGAAAAGGTCTTCCTAAAAATGACAATGGTAATTTCGACTTCCCCAGCAAATCGCTGTAAGTCTTACCATCGTGAATGGTTTTCACGATTCAACAATTCAGTGATCTCATGGTTACTTCGATTGCAGACGTATCATCGGTAAATTGCATGTGCTGTGTAACGTTGCTCAATCAGAAAACTAAGGTAAGCGAAAATGTATTGTTCGAGTGGAATGCGATCGTATTAACGACAAGAATTTTTTACGCGAATTAGTTCACAGAATCAACCATGAGTGTACGAAGAAAACGATTAAGTAGACACTGTATTTATCGCCATTGCAGCGGTCTCGTATGCCCCCGGAAGTTAGTGAAAAAAAGAAAAAACAGGCAACATTACGTTCACCTACGCGTTTCTCAACAGGCTATTTCTGATTATTGGAAAGTGTCCGATAAATCGGTACATGGTGAAAATAATATTAACGAGGCTCAAATATATCAAGAAAATACAGGCGGGAAGGAAAAAACCATAAAAATAACTCACGAACATAAAGAAGAAATATCGAAGAAGCATGATAAATATGCGGCGGAAGAGATTGAAAAGGATATGGTATTAAAATCAGAATGTAAATCTCCGTGTGTTTACCCTAATAAGCCTTGCAGTGATTGCAGTATCTCTTCATTATCTCTACGAATAGCTGAAACTAAACACGAAGAGAGCGAAAGTATTAGAAAATCGAGTAGTTTCAAACACATTTGTGATAGTAATACGGAACATTTTTTAATGTACATGCAGGAAGATACCTCTAGTGCTTTGGAAAGGAAGAGTAGCTCGTGTAGAACTAGTAAAATCGATACATCGCACGAACGTTCAAAGAAAACTTCGAGTGAAAAATGTTCGCCAAGTGGCACAAGTTTCGACGAAACCACTAATACAGATGACTATATGAATTCGATTTTGTATTACGATATACGAAAAAAATTTGCGTCTACTGCTAAGAAAAAATCATCAAAAAATTGTTTGAAGATTGAAAAAGGCATTGAATTAAAATTGACTCCTGAAGCAGAAATAAAAAATACAGAGAAAATTAGTTCACATCAAGAGTCGGACATTGATAGAATCAAAAGTAACATTTCGGACAACACGCGGGTATACTCTTTGAAACAAAAGCAAAAATATAATTCAAAACGCCCTATAAATAAATCGGCTACAAAATTGCAAAAGAAACTTCCATGTCGTAACATTGAAATTGGTTCAGACATGCAACAGAAAGATACTTACCCTGTTTCTTGGTATAAAAATACAGTGTATCAGAGAAAGCTGCCAAAATATCCTTGTCAAAGCTGTTATTGCGATGCAAAGTTAGTTACGTCACTTTTTAACATTGATCAATACACTGTAATATAATACTAAATTTTATCTCCGTTACCAAAATGCATTTTCTCTTTTCAGAGCACGTAATTATGATGATTCCCGATGGAGTGGCAGTAAAAAACAATCCTTCTCAGATTTGCAGCCCTATTCTTCGTTTAAACCACAATACAATACGTTATCTATGAATTTGCAACCGCAAAGGAATAATTCTCCATATGAATGTCTGAGAACGAAGAAAAAAATTGATTCAAGGGCCGATTATAAATTTTCATCGTCTCATGAAACTCGTTCGTCGAAATTCAAACCACAATCGATGCAATATAAAGAGAAACCGACTTTGGTCATCTTCAAAAACAGAAGATCCAATAGATCGAGGAATTCGACGAATTCGTTATATAGTTCTTCGACCACTTCTACCAGTACTATTAAGAGACCTGTTCACGACAATTTAGTTACGTCTCAACGTTCAACCTATAAATCATCACGTTATACGATGCCTTCGAGTGATCAATATAAGCATAATAAGAACAGCGCAAAAGTAGATACTACTTCTTCGTTGTCTTCATCATCAAGCTTATCATCGTCCAAACGATTTCATTCTTGGACAGTATTACCACGAAACGCTGTTTATCATAAACAAGAACCGATTTCTTCGTCTTCGTGCACAGACGTTCACAGATGGAGAAGAAGATACTCGGAAACGAAGAAAAGGACGAGTTCGTATCTTTCATCCACTACCTGTTCTTGTTCGTTGTCACCGTTATCGACATTTAGAGATTATTGTTTAGAGGAATCGGAGAAGGAAGCAAGGCAAATTAAAAAGTCGCGGAGAAAACCAAGATTTCGTGCACAGAAGAAGAAAATAATATACACGGATGAACGTCACGTTAGATGGAATATTAAGAATATGTATTAGGAATAGAAAAGTAAAAGGAAGAAAATGAACAGATATGAAAAGCATGGAAAGAAAAGAATTATTGATGTAAGAAGTATATTTTAATCATAGGTACACGTGAAGAAATCACAATCATAATTTATACCTCGATATTATTTAAATAGAAAGTCCACGCAACAACGTTGGTAAAGTAACATTTGTGACATGCTCTATTCTTTTAGTAGAACCATCGATAAAGACATAATTCAAGCGTGAACTCGGTTAAATCATAAATTTATCGTGTGACGATGAAACGTAAGCAACAACAGTAACGAGTACACGTAATTGGCAGGTACCGAGTTAGCACTGAAACTCCGTGAATAAATTGGACATGGTGCAAAGGAGTGACGCGTCCCGTTGGACGTTTGGAAAATCTGAAACTCGATTAATATGCGTCGTGTCCGTAGGTGAAGAGTCTATAAGTAGATCTTCTACGGACACGAACGTCAGTCATATTCATATATTATGTTCTGACCTGGTAGACGAAACCTTCCTTTACGCTAACGAGATATCTGCAATGGTTAACACTATACATACATCAGGCAATGCCACGATATACATCTTTGCCAAATATCTCAACTACAATTTCGTTGTTGTGAAAAAAAGGACAAAGGATTCTTTCGCTTTATTATGTGTAATCGTAGACTTTTGAATGAAGAGATCTTCCTTTTTCTTATTATTCATAGATAATGTATGTTCGTCTCTTCAATTTGATAAAAATGTATCTTTATAACATTATTGTGATGTATCGTTTTTCATAACTTTTATGAAAGTTAAATAAAATATGTTTACTGCCATCATCATAGTTTGTAAAATATTAATTGAAGTTCTTTTCCAAATTAGTGATACGAGTTGAGTGATTGTTTAGGTTGAAAAGAATTTCAGAATGATTCTTAACGTCGTATCGATGTCTGTGCATACAAAGTCTTTTTTCCAAAGTTCTCTCGTCTTAATCTACTCGAGAATCTCTCTGAATGGCAGGCTTTGTAAAGGAAACGTCGCAGCTGCGTCCCTTTCGCCTCGTATTTTGCACGCATTCCGATGAAATAAAACGAGAACAGCAAGGGTGCCGACTTCAACCGAGAAGAAATATTTCGAAACGGGATGTTAAATGAGCGAACTGTCCAACTGTCACTCTACCTAGTACCCAGTTTCTTTAGCACTTAGCGAAAATATGAGCCAAAATGAATCTATATATTTTCGGTGTCTATGTTACAAATATACGCGTAACGCTTGTACGTTAGATATTATTTGTTAAAAAGACTCTATTCTAAAACTATATTTTCATTCTTATTCGTCGCTTTAATTTCGATGAAAAAAATAGAATTATATAATGCAATGTATAAATTTATTTTTGAATGAATTGATTTTATTTGCATAGATATACATATCTAAAAATCACTTAATCTATCAATACTTATTGGACCAGGTATACAGAATAAGGAATAATTGTATTTTGTTTAAAGCACTCTCCGATCCATTCGCTTTTAATAATTGTTAACGATGCCTGGGATTTATTGTCAATTAAATTTTGGAGTTCAATATCGGTGGAAT